GGCTGGCATAAAGGGTTAGGGTAAGTTTTCTAAAATTCTCCAATTTATGCACGGTTTTCTTAATTTTCCTTAATCAACAAAAAAATATAAAGTCCACTAACTCAAGTTTTCAAGGGAAAAAGGTATTCTCTGTTGTTTGTAGGTTTTAAATCTTGTTTTGCCGGCTAACAATAAAATCCTTGATCACAGTTTGGGAAACACTGATTCAAATGAACCGGCAGCGAGAAATATCACCCGGTTGATTCCCGTGAAATTATCCGGTTCTTGCAACAAATTAGACAATCTGCACGCTGGAACAGTGCGAACGTGGCGCGGGGTTTATAAACAATCGTGTCAAGGCATGTTTCCACTGGAAACGCGTGTACGTTATCTACAAACGCCTGCTTAATTAGTGTCTTGAAAATGTAGCGCTATTTTTGGCTAGATGGTACAGCGGTTTAGTACCGCTTTACTTTCGATAGAGGCCGGTTCGATTTCTCGGACGGTACTAACATTTGTATACATGAGTATGATTGTTTGTATCGGTCTGGGTATTTTCGATGTATGTAATATATAATTACAACACGAATTTATTTTAGTATTTCTATCAGTTGTTTCGTTGTCAATTCTGCAAGTGAAGTTTTTTGTTTTTAGTTTATTTATTTTTCAAAGTAAATTTGTTAACGTTATTTATTTATTCAATTACATTACATTGAAAATCCCGTACATTAACTACTATTGCCATGCTTATTCGTAATCATTTAGTGAGTGACTTTGCTCAGTAAGTAATAGAAGTTTTAAATTTATGTAAAGGTAACTCCGAAATAAACATCTGGTCATTTGTCATACGTAATCGTTTTATAAGTAATAGGCTATACTTATTAAGTACGTATGTTTAACCACAGATAATAATACATATTATTATGTAGTTTTAACAGATATTTTAAATTTATTTAATGGTAGCTCCAGAACGAATTCGACGAGTTAGAAATATATTTTAAATTCGAGTTAAACCAGTAACAAATCTGTACCTACATATCAACTTTTCTGAACACTGTACGCGGTTTGCGGTTAACGCAACCTCTACCATAAATATAAGATGTTTTTTTTATTTTATTAAACATAAAATAAGAATATCCTTCAATTCTACGGGTCTAGGTAGCGAACTCTGAAAAGGGCGAGCACAATAGATCTATGTAGGTCGCAGTGCTATAGGTGCTACACATCTGACAATAGCCCAAACAACCCAATAAAAAAAAAAAAAACATAAAATAAGATTAAGACGTTAGTTCTGTTTTGTTTCACAGTTTAGATAATTTTTTTATTATAATTTTCATATCAGAATGTGGGGTTTCTCAAAGTTGTTATTATATACCACTATAGAGCTATATCTTAGTTAATTATGATACCGATTTTGATGACTCACAAACAAAAAAGAAAGTATACACATTTACAAACAATAAAGTATTTTAACTGATTTTAACAGTAAGTATTTTTCATATTAAATGCTTCAAGGTTAGTTTTCAATTCATTTCCAATTTATATCTCTATCAATTTTGTTAATTGTATTTTAATGCTTTTAATAGTCCATGGTGCATTTTAATCTGTATTTAATTATATTTACTCTGTGGGGCTATTAGTCCACATTACTAACAATCTCCTTCCTCCCAAGCAACGGTGTTGCCGCGTGCTGAGCGTAGATTCGCCAGAAATAATGGAATCTGGAATAGTAACTAGTTACGATAAGCATAGTGATAAAAAAGTAAACCGTGCGTAAGAGGCCAAAAATGTGATTTTAAGTTTTACCATTTGATGGCCTCGATGGTCTAGTGGTTTAGCACACCGGTTTACTTCCAATGAGCGCATGTTCGATTCCTCGCACGATACAAACATTTGTATTTATAAGTAATAATTGTTTGTATCGGTCTGGATGTTTTCTATGTTTATTATATGTATTAAAAAAAAGTATTTAAGTATTTATATCACTTCTCTAGCACTCATATCACCAGTACCTACTGCTTAACCTGGGTCTAGATGGTGATGTGTGAATCATCTAAAATTATTATTATTATTAGTATTACTGCCACGAGCTTGTTTGGTACTGAAATTATACAAAAAAAAATGTATAAATAAACTTTATTTTCAATTCTCTAAGTATTATTTTCTTAAATATCTAGCCAATACTCACCTATTTGGTAATTCTCTGCTGCCCTCCACTTTAAACCTCCTTCTTGCTATCGTAAACCTTTTAATTCAGTACTCGCCGTTCGTTGTACGATGGTACGTGCCTGGTATTCTATTGTCGCTCTCGGATCGAGTTCATTACAGTCTCTTAACTCAAATAATTGAACGTTGAACTAGTAAAAACTGAACGCAGTTGATACTCACTGTACCTATGGACTTTTAATTAAGAAGAATTAACTGGTGTAACGACGGTGCTTATATAAAGGTGTATTTATACAGGAGGACTAAAGACAGAGCGTCTACTTCTTACTAGCGTTTATTACATTGATTTACATCCAAGATGTTGTGAATTGGCCGACACAAAAGAAAACTTTGTAGCAATTCATATTTCTGATTCCCCGGTATAGGAATCGCAGATAATCTATCAGAACAATTATCTTTTGAAGGACCTATAAACGTTAGCAGTAATAGTTTTGATATTATAAATCGAGTAGATAATAATCAACATTGAAAAGTTTTTTTTTATATTTTCATTTTGTATACTTTAATGAACAAAAAAAATTTACAATAGGCGAGCAGAAAATCTATCAGAACAATTATCCTTTGAAGGACCTATATATAAACTTGATATAAACTATAAACTTGATTTGATATTATAACTCGAGTAGATAATAATCTACATTGAAAAGGTTTTTTTATATTTTTATTTTATATATGTATAATACTTGTGCTGTGCACTTTAATGAACAAAAAAATGCTTAATTCTTAATGCCGTAAGGCATTCTCTCCTTAGGCTAACCTTAGAGTATAATCAGAAAAAGTTATGATGTTCATTGGCAAAATACAGATTGGCAGGACAAATTTACTAATATAACTTAAACGCCTGATCTAAGGGTTAAGTGTGGTTTTTCCAATTGACAGTGTTGCGGAACTCTTTAGAGTTATTAGAAAACTTTACTTTTTTATCTTTTGACATATATTTGATAATGAATTTGCTCTTTTTGTATATTGTTTTCCTCTACAAGAGTGTAACAGACAGGCAGACAGACCTTGTAATAGAAAAATTAAGTTATTTTTCTAATATAATGTATATAATTAGTTTCGCCATGTTCTACCCAATTCAGATTGGCAGCTAAGTTACTTACTTTTACTAGAAATGATATCACTACTATACTACTAGCACAGATAACATAATGTACTAGATATAAATCCGAGTATATATGGCCAACGGACGCCTGTACCGTTACAAACAACATATTTTAACTGAGCGTTACATATTGCTAACACTTATTTTAAGATGATACTGCACTCTTTGCTACGTGTTTCGAGATTCTTGAAACACATTTTTGTACTTGCAAGTGCGAGTATTATAAACTTTCTAAATCGGATAGTAAATCACTAAGCCAGGACGCACTCCCATAAATATAACGGTATTTTTTGTGCGCATTTTTTCTAATTTTTATATAGTCTTGGATTATTCATAAGAATGAGCTAAGAATAGGTCTTTTTTGATAAAAATCGAGTTTTATTTTGGTTATGCGAAACTATAAAACAAACTTGTTTAAAGAAAATTTGTCCATAGCATAAGAGGACTAATATCAACGTGAAACGTTGGACAAAATTTAATGGATTTTAACTAAGTAGATATTGTAGAAATTTTTCAAGTAGCACATTTTGTGTAGCAAGTATGTATTAATAATAATATATAAATAAACAACCCTGTGGACAAGTAACTCAGCGCCATCTAGTCCCACGGTAGCTTCCAAGCAGAGCTTGTATGGGTACTAGACAACTGATATAAATACTTATTTTTTTTGTAAATACATACATAATATACATAGAAAACTCCCAGACCAATACAAACAATTATACTCATGAATACAAATGTTTGCAGCGTGCGAGGAATCAAACACGCGACCATGGGAAGTAAAGCGGTGTGCTAATCCTCTAGACAACCGAGGCCGTCCATATATAGTACTACATAAGTACTTTTGATATAATTTATAGTATATAAAAGTAAACATAGGAGGGTAAGACACACGTCCCCCACTCCACCGTCATATATCATGCTCACGCCATAAGTTTCGTCACCGCTGAGTTATGGCCGCCATCCGTTCTTCTTATTCTGAATGTCTTTATGGAGATGCATAAATCGAGAGCTATATCTCATACGGGATCCGTGAGATTATAAGGTAGCTGCGATTTTTCTTAGCAAAAAACGACCCTATACATTTCTGAGTGCCTTTTTTCAGATGTGTACGTAAAAAATTACACGAATTGCCGGAAATTACAAGTATACGGAGATATAGCGCTTTAATCTTCAAAAATGATGACAAGAAGTATCAAATTTATACTCACATTATAAATATGTATGTTTGTCTATATCTCTATTTGTTACCTTTTTACAACTAAATAGCTGAACGGATCCAGTGAAATTTTACATTAATATAGACTATTACGAAATGACAAGGACTAACATGGCCGATAATGTATCTCAAAAAATAATCTAGTAGGTAGACGAAGTAGCGAGTTAATAAAAATGAAATATAATAATACTTTCCATATCATACAAACCTGGAAAAAATTAGGTGTTTCTTTTGTAGATAATTTATAATTGGTTTTTAATAGTCAGTAAATTAATAAATTATCTCTACATTTATTAATTTACTAGGTCAGAAAAACAATAAAAAAATTGTGAATTAAAAAAATTTAAAAACATTCACCAATACAAGGTTCATTTAAAAAGATAAGAACACAGATTCGTCGCAAAAATTTGTATATTTTTCAGGTAATGTAATTTTAAATATTTTTATATCATAAAACATGATCATAGTAACAACATATGTAAAAAAATGTTTTTATATAGCATTATTATGATGATAATACATCATACAAGCAAAAAAATATATTATATCATCATTATTATCACTGCAAACTAAAAAAATAAACATAACTAAAACTTCGTAAGAATATGCTTAAAGACACAGCCTTATCGTTTATTTTTTTTCAAACAACGTTATTCTGATATCTCTAACAACTGCTCCAGTTTCTTTAAGAATAATTTAAAGCGTAACAACATTCATATTACAAACAAAAGTATCAATTGTTTCTCTTATAGAGATATGCTCTTAAATAACTTACATATTTTTTTTTAGTCAACACCATAACCGTCAGTGGAAGCATAGAACACACCGGTGGCATTCCCAGGATTAGAATACCCAGCTATAGTCACTTGATTCGCTGCACAGCGTCCTGTTAGAAATGAATCATAAGAATCACATGCCCAAGCCAAATACCACTCTGAATGATGGACAGTCGCTGCCCAATACTTAACACACGCTTTGTGGCTACATTTGGCGGCATCAGATTCCGCCAAACCGGGTATTATACCGCCATCGCAATGTGGCTGATTCTTCCCCTTTCTGTTCATGAAGAAATCTATATCAGCTAACACGGCCGTTGTGCCCAGACCACCGGCGTTACAATGGTATACTTCTACATACCCAGCCACGCCAGACCTTATATGATCCTGTATGAATCCATTTGAAAAACAAGGACCAGCTGGATCTATACCCGTAATCCTCCAAATGCTTTCCGTGGTTCTATTCTGGTATGTGGTGCCTGCGTACCCGAGCATTTGACTGCCCAAGCTATGGCCGATGCAATGAATATTTTTAGACTGGTAGCCATTACTATGGAGGTCTGATAAGAAGTGGCCCAATGCTCGTCCAATATAATACGCATATTGCACAGATCTTTCGTAACTTTTGATCATGCCCTCTTTCGCTGATGTGTACGGTGAGTGGTCTACAATAATTAGATAGATATTTGGTACATCTTTAAACGTTTGTCTGATCAGTTCCTCGGTTTTCTTTCCAATATTCGACTTGTAGCCAGGCACGAAGAAAATCAAACGCCTGGTTACGTCTAAGTTGTAGACGGAAGCAAAATTGTTAGCAGCTCCATCTATTGTGAAGCTGACGTTGAAATTGTTCTGGAAGTCGTAGAAGAACAATTGGATACCGCTGACATCGAGGTCCAAAGTTTTGGTATGGTTACCTGGAACACAATATAAAAAATCATGAGATGAATGATTGAGGTAGATAGCAATCTGTACCAGAAAGTATATCCCATAAATTACTGACCACTGTAGACAGATAGATGTTTCTAAGACATAAATACCTACCTAGGTGCCTTATATATATGACTTCTTTAATGGATAAATAATAGGACTCGCCACTGCTCACAATATATTTTATCGGAGCACTATGCCAATGTTATAAGATAACAAATACAATTTGGTCAGACAGATCACAGTAGCGAATGTACCAGGAAAAACCAAGGTGGTTCTGTGAAAATCGACATTGAACTATTGATCTGACTCAAACCCATTCTGTCATTCTCGTATACTATGCCCCACGAGCGTAGAGTCAGGTGTCCAAAAAATATAGAATACTTGCAAAGTTGAACAAAGACGGAGCGAGCCACTAGTCATACAATAGGCACTACTTTAAAATGTCTCAGCTATTCAATGGCTATAATAAAACAAGTTAACCTCACCTTTAAGGTCAAATAAATGTACCTACATGATTCTGTATAATATATTGATGCTGTTTTAAAAACAAAATTTCTTATTTAAGTTCAGTCATCAAAATGAACGCGTATGTATAATATAATGTTTTCCTACAAATTACGTAGACACAGGTACGAGACAACGCAAATATCGTGTCAGAAATTATGCTTAAGTTTGTTTGTTTAGTTTTCCTCTTAGATCGTGTATTAGAAGCCTTATAAGTACGTGTATATACAGATTGACAATTGAACTGGAGTGACAAACAAGCTACCTAAGAGAATGGACGTTAGATCGTCTTAAAAAAAAAGCTAAATTTCTTCCCTTCAGTCGAACTAAACGGTAGGAATAGTAATAAAATATACGATATACATAAGAGACCAAAAGGTCGTATGTTAATAAATAATTTTGAGTTTAAGGTTGAGTTTGACAGCTGTGGTATATTGCCATTCTGAAGTATTACCATAAAATTATTCGTGTTAATAATATAAATAATGTGTATTACCTATTTAACAAAGTCAAATTAAACACTGTAGCTATATCCAAATAACAATCTGAATAAATGCTCCGTATATTATCAAATGAATAGATAACCTATCCAATTCATGCATTATGAAGCGTGCAACTCAATTAATGTGAGAGTAATGATCAATTTAATGTTAATTATTGTCGACCACTCTTCGAATTTTCGAGTACATTTATCGATAGATATCTCCCGGGCCATTTACCCGTACTATGATAGGACCAGCCACTACTACTGTATATATATGTTTGTTTTTATTTTTTTTAGGCATGATAATGGAATAAAGCACCCGCCTGCGCTAACGGTTTACGCTGGCTGGATACCAGTGGAAGATGATAAGATGAGCATGAGGTTAGGTCACTTAGCCCATTACGGCAAATTCAACAAGAATTTATCACGATGGTTTCCAGGGGAAACCGCGTGGAGGTCAACCTGACATGGTACATAGCAGTATACATTATAATCTACATATATGATCCCCCACTACTGTATATATTATAATCTACATATATGTTTCACTCGTAGTAATAAACTCAAACACAAAATTAATAATTAACATAAAATCCTTTAGCCATGTCATATTTCTTATCATCATCCCTACTGTCCCTTTCGACTAGCTTTTGAGAATAATTATTAATGGAATTTGTTACACAGTTACTTAGAACAATATTATATTATCTGTGCTTAGAACTATAGTATTTTCGATTCCTTGCATTTGTATTCATGAGTATGATCGCTCTGGGTGTTTACTATGTATATTATGTAAGCACTTACAAAAAAAGGTACGTATCAGTTGACTAGTACCTTAACACAAGCGGATGACATCTGCCTCTTACAGCTTGACCACGACTGTTCGTTATTATTACATATTATTTTCTATGCTATAGACCGTGTGAAACCTATATATTATTCTGATATATAAGCAACGATATACAGTCCACTGCATCAAATTCTGTTCGTACCAGAATGGCAGCCACTTTCTCGTTTATAATAGAAATGGCGAGCAGTCGTACATGTATTATATATGACATCTGCCTCTTGAATTACTCTAACTATTAAAAAAAACCGCTTTAAAATGCGTTTGCTTAGTTTTAAAGATTTAAGCATACATAGGGACGGACAGACAGCGAGAACAACTTTGTTTTATAATATGTAGTGATAAGATTAACACATAATCTTCTTACATGATGTAGTTATAAACAATACTCACAAGTAATCCAACTAGAGTATAAAGCGGCTCGAAAAGGTTTAAAATTAGCGTTCACAATCACACACGTCAATAACACTACGCAAATTATGGACCATGCTCGTACAAAATAGACCATATTAGTTGACCCGTGTGACCACAGTAGTGGTCAAATGATAAATGATTCGTCAGTACAGTCAACAAACTGTGACCTTCCACAGACCGCGTGTTACCAGATTGCCTTGTGTAGTTCGCAAACGAACTAGTTCGGAAGATGAACTATACATGTTAATTAGCAGATTTATTGGTCTTTAGTTCGTTTGATAAAAGTAAATTACAATCCATGCATAAAGTTTGACTGTCTGTCTGGCTGTTCTACTATTTCAGGATACAGCTGAATCGATTTAAATTACATTTGCCATGAAGATATTTACCAAGAAGAGGAACATAGTCATCAATCTATAGCAATAAATAATCTAATAGGTAGAGTTAAGTAGCTGGTAACGCCTAATATTATTATAAATAAAATATAATAATTGATTCTGTACTATATAAACTGTATACCAGTAAAAGATTATATATTTATTTTGCAGTTAATTTGGAATTGCTAATTGCTAATTTAGTAAATTAATAAATACAAACAGGTCACACAACGATTATTTTTCAAAATCTATGGAAAACATATGTAAACAACTAAAAATATATGCAGTATAAATAAAACATGTCACGTATTTAAACACAGTAACAGTTAAGTAGTTGTTGGAAAATAACTACACATGAAACCAAAACAAAACTATATTTACTGACAGAACATTTTTATTTACTCAGGCTTTTCCTTGTTTCAAAAGAGATACTAACAAACTGAAAGAACGAACTACTTCTAATAGAACTATTAAGCTGAACACTGCGAATCGCGAACTATTATGCACAAGACTATTACGAGCATCCATTGCCGAAGCATCATATAAAAACATATATGTATGTGAACTGACAATTAAAAAAAATAAACATATTTGCAGTATTTCGGAATGTTATGTATTTCGGATATGTTATTTATATATACATATAAATAAAATTGGAGTGTCTTTTTGTAATAATGAAATAACCGTTTTTTACTACATGAATATTAATATAAATACGTTACATAATACACCAAAATATTTTTTTTTACCATTTTTGTCTGTCTGTCCGTTTTTTCAGGCTAATCTCTGAAATGGCTGGACCGATTTTGTCAGGACTTTTTTTGGCAGGTAGCTGATGTAATAAGGAGTAACTTAGGATACTTTTATTATAGAAAAATTCTATTATTTTAGAAAAATAAAGTTAAATTACACGCGGTCGCAGTCGCAGACTACCTCCAGTCTTTTATAAAAGAATTACAATCTTTAATAATGGTGATATCACCGGCTACGTCATCAATCAATCATTCCGTCATCAGTTCATTGTAGTGAAGAAGTATTGTTTTTTATATTACTTATTATTATTTTCTACAATGTCTATCGTATTCGACAACAATTTCATTTTATTCTCTACTAGTTACTAGCCCCGGCTTCGCACGGGTGTACATGTATTATATGTATAAACCTTCCTATTGAATCACTCGATCTATTAAAAAAACCGCTTCAAAATCCGTTGCGTAGTTTTAAAGATTTAAGCAGACATAGGGACAGACAGCGACAACGACTTTATTTTATACTATGTAATGATGATGGTTTATTACTTAGTGTTGGAACCAAAGGTTCTAAGTTCGAATCTGGGCGATACAAAATATTTTGTTCCGTAATTTATATTTCAATCGATCAGTTTTACCGCGATGGAAACATCAGTACCAAGCAAATTAATCCGAGAGACGACGGTAGGCTCGCTCCCTGTTACATTCAAATATGCTCGGCGAAATGTGGGCATTTCACGTTTAACATGAAGCCAACAATTGAGTATTATTAACATAACTATTATTATTTAATCGTATATTTTTTTTTATTCTCGAATAATAAAGGCAATTATTAAAAAAAAATAAGATTAAGATTTTTAAGTGCTAAACAAGTATTTGCATATAGTACTATTATTATTGAAATGCAATGTATTCATTTTGGAATGGACAATAGATTTTCAGTAGTATCCAAATTATTTACACACCCTCTCTGCACACACACACTCACAGAGGGGTTCCATACACACACAAACTATCATATAATCCACTAAAAAGTGAATAACATACACCTCATAAACAGATGTAATAATCTTTTTTAAGACTTCTTATGTAGTACTGTATTGTTACGTTTACATTCAGCCGCTTCCCCTGCCACTCGCGCTGGCGGAAATATTACCGGGCGACAACCGAACGAGAGGGCTGAATGTAAAAACACGCTGCCACTCGCGCTGCCAGTCCTTTGACTCGCGCACGAAAAACCGACAATCGAGTGAGCGCCGGGCAGCGTGAGTGGCAGCGCCAATGGCATAGGAAGTGTTTACACTCTCGCGCTGGTCACTTCCCTGCCCACTCGGGCTGAGTGTAAATTTTGTATATGATCCGAGTGAGAGCCTGGAGATCTGTACAGATTACCTAGTGAAGACTCCAAACTCTCATAAAGAATAACTTGGAAATTTAAACATAATTTATTTATATTGTAAGGTTCCTTGTGAGCAGTAAAATAAAGATTATTGTTATTATTGTTTGCTTGAAATAGAGTATACCTGAATATTACGATATATATAATATATATACGGTATATATAAATAGACGACCTCGGTGGTCTAGCGGTCAAGCACACCGCTTTACGACCGATGGTCGCGGGTTCGATTCCTCGCACGGCACAAACATTTGTATTCATGAGTATGATTGTTTGTATTGTTATAGGTGTTTTATATGTATAATATGTATGTATTTATAAAAAAATATATATCTATATATATGTATCAGTTATCTAGTACCCATAACTCAAGCTCTAGCTAGCTTAACTTGGGTCTAGATGGCGCTGTGTGAATTTTCCTGAGATTATTATTATTATTATATTAAAAGAATATTATAGCAATAACAAAACAGTCCACATATTTCGCCATTGTTCAGGCATGCAACATTTTATTAAAATGTAATAGTATACTGAAAAATTAATTGAAACCCACTAATTACATTAAAATATTAAACACGAAACACTTATTGTAATTATTATCAATATTAATTAAAGATAATACTATTAATTCTGTTTTTAATTAAATACTACCAACATTGAGCGAAAACATTGATTGAAAAAAGAAATTATCATTTAGACAACTTCGGTATTGGTATTTTTAATAATAATACCTGTAATATTATTATTATGGTATTAGTATTTAAAAGAATACATGCTTATTTAAAGTGATGGGCTATTTTATTATAATTTTATAGACATTAAACATTTTTTTTTTATGAAGAAAACGTTTACCTGTTGGTATAACTAATATAATTGAGTCTCTGGAATTGAAACAAATGCATTTTTTTGGACAATGGGACGAATAACAGTAAATATAATTAAATTCTACGACAAAATTGCTTGGGCACCGATAATGAAGACATAACCCTTGGAAACGATAACGCGCCAACTCTTTCCACAGATCAACGACAACAAGCTCTTTACTTTTTTTAAAACTATTATATTTACGAGTACGACGACCTCGGTGGTCTAGCGGTCTAGCACACCGCTTTACGACCGATGGTCGCGGGTTCGATTCCTCTCACGGCACAAACATTTGTATTCATGAGTATGATTGTTTGTATCGGTCTGGGTGTTTCCTATGTATATTATGTATGTATTTACGAAAAAAAAAATTTATGTATTTGTATCAGTTATCTAGTACCCATAATACAAGCTTTACCTAGCTTAACTTGAGACTAGATGGCGCTGTGTGAATTGTCCTGAGATTATTATTATTAAAACGACAGTGTTATTTTTTTTTTAATAATTAAAAAATGACATACTAAAATTAAAAATATGACATTGTGTATATTGAACAATGATTCGTATTCGTGTTAATTTACTTGAAAGTTTAAACATTATTTATATTGTATTGTTCCTTGTGAGTAGTAAATAAATATATTATTACTGTTATGTGCCTCATTTTCACAGTTTTTGCTGTTTTTTACGCTTTGGGGCATATACCACACTTTCGGGCCGAAACCAAATAGGTGCAGTTGTTTGTGTGTGTGTGTGTGTCTGTGTGTGTGCGCGCGCGCGTATACGTGTTATTATTATTATTGTTTTTTTTTTAAATATGCATTTTGTCACAAAAATCTGTATATATATTTTCTATTATATATATTCTCCTCCAAGTGTCATTGTGTGAGTTAATATAGAATTATTGTTATTTGCCAAAATAATATTAAAAGCATGTAACGCAATTTATGAATAGCTCTTCTATATATATACATATACCGTGCCAAGAAAAGCGATAATCCCTTTCAAAGTCCAAAGTAATAACCAAGTTTATTAATCACCGGACAACCGATGAAGTTTTTAATTGACTGCTCCATCGCCAGGTCGTTAATTTCGCCATTTAAAAGGTTAATTGGTGATTCGCTCTTTAGAAGAAATCATTTTAAATGACCTTAATTTGTAATAAAACTATTATTATTCTGAAGTAAACTATGTATGCAGATGATAACATTTTTTTTTTGTTTTCACCGATCTTCGCCCGCAAGGACAAGTCTATCAAAAGGAGATATATAAAGTATGTATAAGAAATAACAATAATAATAATGTGGTATCACCCTTCAAGGACAAGTCTATCATCCCATCAAAGGTATATAAAATATATGCATGTAGAATAATAATAATAAATACTTGAAGAAACATGATTTTTTTCATGTTTATTTGTTCTTTCTCCTTTTGAGCACAATACTCTCAAATGCACTAATCCGTTTTATAAGTCAAAAAATCACTTTTCAGTGTTACCAGTTGAACGTTTACAAGAAATTATAAATTGACGAACATTTTTTATTTTATAATACCACAGATAAGATAATATTACATAATCATACTTAGATTTGAACTTACTACCAATGGCATTAGCACCCAATAAATTATTAGGATTGAACTATTAGGTTCCTTTATTAAATTAAAAATTATTCGATGATCCGTAAACCGTCAAAATATAATTCAGAATGACTGAAAATGAATGGTTAAAAAATATTTTTAAGCGAATTAAAATTGTATTCAGAATGTTTGAGTGGCCACTCAATTAATTTGAAAGTTTACGTAAACACAGCACCGTACTGAAACTCGATACAGTTTCAATAATTAATTATGAAATTAAACTTTTAATATTTTGTTTTTTTTTCACGTAAATGGAATGATAATGGAACTGTCGGCCCATGTAATGGTAAGTGATGACTGTTAGTTAGGCAGTATAAAAAAATAACATGAAAAATATACCAATTGAGTTTCTTGCTAGTTCTTCTCAATTGGAGTCATTAGGCCGAACTGGACGAAGAGATAATGATAAAAATGATCGTACATGAGAGGCCGAAAGATGTATGGTAAATATTTTTTATTCATTTGATTCGTCTTGTGACGCGCTTCCGAAAGAGCGCAAGGCTTGTTCCGAAAGAATAAAATGTCATGTCACAGCTTCTTATGCTTTAATCTTAATGCCTGACCTTTGAACCGAAACTTATCCTACAAAAAATCTGCTAGATGGTCAGTCGGCAGGCTAAAGTACTCAAGCAGATGAATCTTCACAGAGTCTACCTCTATAACAACTATTTTTACTCGTATGTACTACTTGTACTCACTACTTGTAGTAAAAATATAGGCTGAATATATACAACCCCTCAAATCACCTAAAATTATAACATATATAAAATATAATTTTTTGATATAAATGACTGGCAATAAACACTAATAGACATCAATATAAACACGGACAAAACATTTTTTGTGTTTTACTTTAAAGTGTCTAATTATTATAGTGAAGATATAAGTAGATAAACATTGCGTTTCCTCAATAAAACTGATAAGAAACTGATGAATATCTTAAATTAAATTAACTAAACGACGTAGTATCCCAATGTTTGTCTATGTTGCCAATATTTGCTAAATATCATGACAATTGGACTAATACAGAATATAGCAATGAATACAAAAAAATACTCGTCACACATAATATTAGTGATCACTAAAAGGAACATAATAAAATAAGACGTAGAAAAAATAATAATATATAATCAGTTTTAATATATTTACAGGAATTACGATTATAAATAGAAATTAAAATATTGTTATATTCCTATATCACAAAGAAACTAACACTTGTAATAATCTTTATATTAAATTTACATGTTAAAATGTCAAACATCTAATAAATTTTAATTAGTATATTATTTATTTGTCCTTTGCTTGTGCATTATTTTCTTAATTTGACAACAGTTAAAAGTATTTGTTGTTTTTTCGATAATTGATAATTAATAATAATACATAATATCTATAATATGTTTTTCACTTCAATTTCTTATTGGATTTATTTTTTAACCAGAGACTAAGTATATTTACTCTGTAGAAAAAAGAACTAACTGTCAAATAATCAAATAAATACATAAAATAAATTGTGATTTATAATCACTGTATGTATCTCAGTATTCTATATCATTTAGAAATTTTTACGTAAACATGAGATCGAGCTTCCACAGTCGAAGCCGTAATAATCAACTACTATGTGATATGGTCTCTAGATATAATGCATACCAATTTTATAATCTATGTATAAGCGTGTAGTAATTAGAATAAGTTGTAACTTAACGGTGATATTGAAAGTGCGTCACTAATTGATGAAATCCATAAATTATCGTGCCATAAATGTGATAAATAATAAAAGTAACGCGCGTCACAGATAACAGAAACATGTGTATATCTGTAGTATCTTTGCCGCGGTAACACCTATAAATTCATTACAGTTGATCCTCATAATTTATCTATACGTTTGAAATGTTTTATCTTGTCAAAGTTACGAGATTAGAGTAACTAAAATACTTGTATAAAACTTATATAACAATATATGTATGTTATAAACAATATTATGTAATATTAATTATTCACAATTTAATAATAGAAAATATCAGAACCTTTACAATGATCAAATTGCACGAATAATTTCTGCACAAAGTTTTTGGCGCGAATTTCCACAGACGGCAGTAATTATAGTTTATAGACTATATGATATGCAAAGGATTAAGTCATACTGTCTAATTTCGGTAATAAATATATATAAACAAAAGACTATTCTCTTAATTTCGGAGAAAAATCCACGTAAAAATTTGCAGTGCAAATAGATTGTTATTTAAAATAAATACTTAAATAAACCTTAACTTATATACAAAGTATACGTATATTCAAAATCGATTCAGTCTTTTATGAGAGATGTACATTTTGATTTCATTTGTAGAAAATGAAATAAAATTTCATAGTAATATTGCTTCTATTACACCTATATTAAACTAGTAATAAAAGTTGTGAATACCTGATAACAGATAACAAAAAATACTTATCTATCTAAAATTATATTAAAATACTATTGAAGTTATGAAAATTTGTATTAGACTACTGGTTAGAAATAAATTAAATGGCGTGAAAGTCGATAATTGTTGCTTGTGAATCTATTAAATATATAATCTATAAACCTATTAAATAATTAATCTACAATTTTGTTTATTTAAATAAATATTATTTCTATTGTAGTCTATGGTAACCTAAAACATATTGTAGGCTTTCAATATTTATGATTGGCACAGATTATATTCTAAAGTTTAATTGCAGATAAGGTACTCAGTATTCTGTAACTATACTTGTGCTGTTTAGTATTTCCAAGTCAAAAGAACTACATATATCGTGTATTAATATAATACTGTATATATGTATATCTGTGATCTTAAATATAGTTTTGTCTTTTTTATAATTTTTTCACTGTTTCTTTATAATTTTACACATTGTATAATGAGATTTACCGTAATTTAGATAATAAATAAATAATTTTTTTTTCGTAAAATCCCGGTTAATCACATGTAATATTACTGTATTTTTACAATACACAAATTCTCAATTCACAACAGTGAATATAGAAACACACAATGTGTGTATATTACAATATCAATAAACTTTCAATTAATTACTAAGGACTTATTTATTATAAATGCGTCGTTTCTTCAGTTAAAAATGATGGATATATGAGATCGAGGCCTCTTAATCTTGCTATTATGAATTCTTCAGCTTGAATCTCCATTTTCTGGTCAAAGTGTGTCTTCCAACCGCCAGCTTCGCCTAAAAAATGTCACTCATATTATTACATAAATAATATTAAAAAATATATATTGCTACGACCACAGATTTGATAATTTACTAAGAAAAAAACGAAATATCTTCGTATTAACAAATCTAATTGTCTTCATGTAAACATTTATTAAAAATTTACATAAACTACGACACTATATTGTATCTGAATAAAAAAAATAAAGCCTTACTTTTTAAATGTTAGAAAATAAAAGAAAACATACCTTTTCTAACAAACTGAACGCCATTCACAGCGTCGCCTGTAGTGTTGTTGACGCTTTTATTTTTTCTTAAACTGTCGAAACTTAAATGCACAGACAACTGTTTAATCTGCTCTTCTGTGTACTCCTTCCCTAGGAACTTGCACATTCTACGGATTTGTGTCGGCAAATCCTGGAAGTAGACAATATATTTTATAGTTACAGGACTTTTTTAAAAATGGCTTTGGAAAGAATTCAATTTTTTTAAAAGTTCTGTATAACCTGAGGTAAGTAAGAATTTTTGCCTAAAGGGATATACAAATAGCGCGGTCTATGTGAATCATATGAAACAAGCAGTATTAATCATGCATTTCTATTAAGGATTAAGATGTCATGCCAAAATTAATCGAAACGAAGTCTTACGAAGCATGTTGTTTCGCGACTGAAATAGGTAAGATCAGTCAATAATTTTTTTATATGAAACTGTGTAACATTTTTTTTGTAGTTTTCTATATATTAGCAATTTGTTCAAACTACATTTTTCAACCTTTTTTTGCCTTTATTTTATAATTAAATAGCGATAAATTATAACATTTTTATGTTATATTAACGAACATGTATGATATAGAATTAGATACACTATTGTATTGGGCTTAGGCCTGTAAAAATAGTTGTGTAAGTAAATAAATAAATAATCATGTCATTGAGTCTTACAATATTATATTATTGATTAGTATATTATTTACCTTAATCATGTCTTCATAAAATATAAAATGTAGATTCGGTTCATGCCTTTTCATCCATGCCTCATTTGTGTGAGATATAATTGGTGTCCACGGCACTGAAACGATTTAGATATTTGTTTAATTTGTGTTTTTAAATTAATATAATTTCCGCCTAATATACTATCATATCTAAGATATCCAGAGCGTGCGAGGAATCGTACCCGCGACCTTCGAAGATAGGGCGGTGTGCTAAACCACTTAACTACCGAGACCTATCAATTTCTATAGCTTGTAACATAATACAGACATATCACATCTAGAATAGCGAATCTGGTTAAAAAAATAAAATGTGAGAAGAAATACCAAGCAAAAATGATATTATAATGACCTAGTATGATATTTAACACTATTTCTTTTAACTAAACTACAGGTAAATCATGGTGCAGAACTAGTATTAAATTATATACAATTATACACTTACATAAATCTCTCCGAAACACTTCCCAGAAGGTAGGGAATCCAGATCTTAATAACGTTTTTGCGACCATTTTGTGAAGATAATAATAAGAGACGGCAACATCTCGCGGATCCCGGCCTACGTACACCACCTTAGCTGTGCTCAACAGCTTCGGTGGTAGAAGAGAGAGAGGTAGATGGGTCTTGATGAAACGGGGAGATGGTGCATTCTCTATCCTTTTCCAGCTCGGACACCTGGCAGCTGCTCCCAGACCTTGAAAGTTGCCTAGGTTCATAAAGTTGGTCTTGATCAGCTCGAATGCTATGTCTGGTATTTTTGATGTGAGCCTGTAATTATAGACGTTTTTTATACCACGATGGTAAGACACTGATGGTATTGATCACTGCACAGTAGAACACGTAGTTCTACAACGTATAATAATGGAATGTCCAGCGTTTGGTGCGCAAAGACTTATTTTATATATAAGAAATTCTTTCTTTATTATATAAATATAGATAAGTTTATATAATAAGGAAAGAAATACCTCTTCTCTTGCCATCTATCCTACAAAACACAGAAACTTTCCATTTTTTATGACTTCATTCTGAATACTATAAGGACGCTCTAGTGACAACTAGTTATTAACAGCTGACATGTTTCTGTACAATGTAATCGGTAATCGTTTTTTTATTAAGTATTTTTACGGATCTGGAAATTTTAGAAAGACGCCTAAAACACCAGGGGTGTCACGTAAGGGTGTATTAAGGTTTCTTAAGGATCGGCCACGCGTACGTTCATGAAAAATTCCATAAGCCTCAAGAGAAAATGTCACTTATTACGAACATAACGTAATTTACCCGGGTATATTTATACCATAGATAAATAATAACTAACAACAACTCCCACGCTATTAAGCATACATTAGCGACAAAAACACCGTAATATGTTTATGTTGTATATGTTGAATATCCAAACAGGCCATCACTTTAGATATGAACAAGTGCTTTTATTGATTATGGTATGTATGGAATCAACAAGCATGACATTATCGTATTTAAGTGTATTATGTATACGTTATGGTTTTTATAGTAATTAATAACTAAATTAAAAACCATATTGAAAGTGAATATGTTGTTATAGTACAACATATTGACTATAAATATACACTATACATAATATATTATGTATGTTGTAAATAAGCAAAATATTTTGGATATGTTACTGACATTTAAATTATTATACCAATTATATCCTTATCGTATTTTATAATTGTTGGAATTATTATTATTATAATTACTCAAATGCTACTTACTCTAGCATTGGAAATCTTTCGTACAAAGGTATGCTTTTTGCTGTTGCGTAATCCAAATTATTTTTTAGCAGCCATATTAACTCCTGGGTCCAAGTTGTGCCTGAAAACAAAATTTATTATAAGCTATCTTATAATGTCGCACTCCAAAGTTTTTGTTCACGAGAAGTTTTTACAGGACTCTGCAAAAAAGGACGTACTTACTCGTATTTGAGTTTCTGAGCTTAGATAATGTAGTGAACCTTTTTAGCTAATGAAATAGTCAGCTATTTCATTAGCCTCAGGGCTTATAGCTGTCTCTTTTTTCGTGCTAATTTCATTATTGTAAAGAGATGAAATAGCAAGTACATTTGTAATTTAAAGATATAATTAAAGTAATTTTTAAGGATATAGCTTACTAATATTATATACGCGAAAGTTTGTGAGTATGGTAGTATAGATGAATGGAAATTTGCTACCCTTTCACGCAAAAATTACTGAACGGATTGTTATGAATTTTACAGTACTATAGGTTATACATCATAATAACACACTAGTCTGCGCTAACGGTTTACGCTGGCGGGGAACCAGTGGAGGATGATGAGAACAGATCAGTTAAGCATCGTGATAAATTGATAAGGATTTATCATGATGGTTTCCAGAGGGAATCGCGTGGAGGTTAGGCTGATATGGTACATTGCGAGCAATGGGTCTACAGTCCACATTGCTAACCATCCCTTTCCCCCCTATAGGAAACAGTTATCACTTCTCATCAAGTGGTCTATCAGCTTTTTGTGATTCCAGAAACAGTATCAACAAAAATAAATAACTAAACGATATAGTGGTCTGTATTGACAGAAAAGATACAATAAATTAATGTTATGTATGTTATAGAGTTGTAAGCGAGAAGTCACTTGTTTGTTTCATTTGACGGTTTAGCGGTTTAGCACACCGCTTTACTGTCGATGATCGCTGGTTCTATTCCTCACACGGTACAAACATTTATATTTATGAATTATGTTTGTATAGGTCTGGGTACTTTGTATATTATGTATATATTCACAAAAAGATTCTAAGTAATTATATAAGTTGTCTAGTACCAATATTACGAGCTCCGCATAGCTTGGGACTAGATGGCGCTGTGTGAATTGTCCAGGGATATTATTATTATTTATCTATATTTATATTAGTGTAATTGTGTGTGATTTGTAAAAATCAAATAAACAATATATTTCTCTATCTATCCACATATTTGTACTTCGAAAAACGTTTCAATTTATAGAAAAAAAAGATATTGTAGATATGGGACATAGTTACCTATACATTAATTAGCACATGCGTTTAATAATGGCTAGTAAGACAAATTAAATATTATCTACTAAGCACTGCTGTGTCTAAACTGTGTCACCCCGCCTTACATTTTCATATTGTCATTTAGTACATAAGACCAATATGATTATGTACTTTTGTCAGTCTATTATCATCTGTAATATAGATTATCTCAACTGACAACATCGCATTATTGCCCCGTAACAGTAGACATTAATTCATGATAATTACAGGTAGGTATTTTTAGTTTCGAAACGCTTCTCAAACATAAATGACGGATGGTGTTGCCAAATTTTCGGCATAGGCCGAAAGGGTCGTTAGCTAACTTATGCATCGGCACGTATTAGAAGTAATAAATATGTACAGTACTTAATATGTACATACATACATATATATGTACTTCATAAATAAGTTACATAATTAAATGGACAGAAGTGTATTGGCAGCAAAATTATAATTGTATTACCCTCTGGGTACTCGCGACTTTATCTGGTTTTTATTGAGATAAGAAAGCCTATACCTCAAATTTCATTAGTATTCCTTCGATCGTTTAATCATGAAAAGGTAACAAACAAATAGACGGACAGATTTTTGCATTTATCGTGTTTAGTATGAATTTGCGCTTTTGGTACTTTCTTTTGCTGGATCGATACCAGAGTAATCTGTGCTCGCTGGTCTAGTGATTTAGCACACCGCTTTATTGCAGATCATCGCGGGTTCGATTCCTCACACGGCGCATACATTGATATCCATAGGAATTTTTTTTTGGATTGGTATGTTTTTTACATGTATATTATGTATGTAGATACAAAGAAACATATTTATATCAGTTGTCTAGTATACTGTTAGTATTATTAGACAAGCACTGCTTAGTCCCAAGGACTAGATAGATGGTGCTGTGTTAATTATGCAAGGTTAAAAAAAAGACTTGAGCAGGGTCGATTCCAGCTCCTTTACTGATTGTACTAATATTATTTTGAGATTAGTATGCACAAAAATACAGATAAACATAATAAAAATTATAATACAATGTTACATTTTCATCTACTACATTTTTAACGTACGAATAGAATAGAATAGGGAATCCTTTATTCAAATAAACTTAAAAGTAGGACATGTGAATAGAAATAGTTATTTTTTTAATCTACTGCTCATTCGGAAAGCTACATCGCAAGAAAGAAGGAGCAAGCTATTGTGTGTTGCACTTTTAAAAAATTGTTACTTTTTTATAACCTTTTTAAGCTGAAATGTGTGAATGCAAAGTACCAGCTAGCACTAATTTATTAGAGTCAAAATATTAAATACAAAATAACATTAAATCAGTCGTAGTGATTACAGTAAGCCAGTCCCTACAACCAGAACTCGTTCACGAGTATGACGGATGAGCCAACCATCGCTGCGAATGATTTTGACAAATCTAATCTCAATCTATGAAACATAGAGCGATTGGTAGACGATGATCATTTATCCACGCATTTTATATCTTGCAGATTATTTATCACAGTTTAGGTGATAAATACGAGTAAGATAAACAGATTAAAACAATTGTGCCACTATATTAGGGTTCGTAATAATCTTATTGTTGTCAAATCTACATTTTTTTGTCAGTCATGAGATTTAATAGTCAATTAAAACTTGTGGCTTTTAAAAGAAACACATTTCACTGATTTGTAGGTAGAGAAAAACGAGCGGTGAAGGCGAGTGTTAATGTACGACGGCAAGAGACCTCTTAAACCAACACCCCAGTTCCGGTAACTACTCGGAGTTTCCCTCTCTCACAAATGATGAAAACGGTACTCTAGAATTAACTATAATAATAATAATGTCTCATGAATCATGAGAACTAGATAGATAGATAGATAGATAGATGTATCGTTTATTTGTTTGTTACTAATCACACACAACATGCTCATAAGAATAGACAATACATAATACGACATAAGATTTATAAAATTGTGTTATTGTGTGTGATCTGTAGTAATACAAAAAGGTCGAAGCTCAGCGTGGAACGTTGTTCAGGGAACAAAATACTGATTTTCAGCTTTAACCCATTTGAGGGTACGTGAAAATTATAATTAAAATAAATATAAAATAAAAAGGAGCAATATCATTGGTAATTGTCTGTGCAGTGTATGTATAATCATGACTATCAAATTATCATGACTTCAATTCTTCAACTCACACGGCGCCATCTAGTTCTAACCTAAGCAGGTCTTGTTATTGGTTGGCAACTGACATAAATATATAGATAGATTTTTTAATAAGAGTATTTACTAATAATGAATAATGAGTGAGCATTTTCAACTTATCCAATGAGATTAGCGTCAAATTGTGGGAAGTTTCTATTTTAAGTTAGGTATTTAAAATATCAAAGTATTAATTAAATTATTATTAACAATATTAAAAAAAACACTCCAAAAATCTAAAAAATGGAACCAATCTGAAATCATACTCTTCAAATATTTTTTTTTCAGTACGGTTTATAAATGTCGGTGTTAAGTTACGAAACAACAAACAAAAAATGGAACATCCTCCTTTTATGGAGTCATTTAAAAACTTATTAATAAATAAGTATTATTATATATTCAGCTATTTTTAATAACTTCATTTTTTTTTATTTTCGGTCCACTCGCACTTGACCCGATTTATTATCTGGGCGCGTTTATTATCTGGTTACCTACTAAGCTTGTCATTTTTATAACCATATCAGCGGATCGTCACAATATGTCATACAATTTTAAATGGAAAACACCAGGCACACCTAACCTCGACCTAAACACTAACTCTACTTCATTATATACTCGGAAATAGAGGGAGACACGGGAGTGTTGAAAATGAATACAAGAAACCACAGTAATATATCATCAATCTAGTAACTAGTAATGCTAGCTATCCTCTTCCCCTCTGGGAAAGGGTTAGTTTGGGATTCTAAATAAGAGGAAATTCATAAAGAGATTGTTGTCCTAGCAATAGCAATATACCATATCAGGTTGACATCCACCGGGTTCCCACTGAAAACCGTCGTGAGAAATTCCTGGTGAATGTGTCACGATGCGCTGACCTGACCTCATGCTGTTTTTACTATCCTCCACTGATACCCCGTCAGTGTATACCATGTAAATTTTTAATTGTAATTCGTAAACAGTAGTTTTTTTTTTTTGCAAATATATACGCATAGAAAGTACCCAGACATACAAACAATTCTACTCATGAATACAAATATTTGTGAAGAATCAAACCCGCGACCATCGGAAGTAAACCTTACAAAACATACACCTCGGTTTATAAGAGAGTTTATACTCTCTTATATTGCAGCGTTTTTTTAGAGATTAAATAGGTAATTTTTCTTACCTGATCTAGGAAACGTGATGACCCACACATCATCAGGTCGCACTTCCATATTGTATATTGCCTCCGCATGCTTCTTGAATGACCCCGGCATGACGTATCCATGTTTGCCACATTTCACAAATTTACTCGAGTATCCTAAACAATAAAAATTAGACATTATGTTTTAGTACACACAGTGTAATTTGGTTTAAATGTTTCCATTATTTTATTCGCATTTTTTTTAATTAAATGTAACATTAGCTGATGGCCCGCCTAATGATAAGTGTCTATCTATATCTAAAAACACAAGGACATCACGTTATCATGTTATATGCGTGATACTCTCATGCGTTGCCATTGCCATTTTGGATGATTATGATTATGAATTGAAATATGACTCTGCAATTTCACTGCCCTTTCAACAACTTATAAGGCAAACTACTTAGCAACTAAAATAGACAATTTTAATTACAATATTATTAGGTATCAGAAAGTTCAAATTTGAAAAACACGTTTCTTCACATCTTTTTTTAGATGCAACAGGCAAATACCGTTTGATCGTACAGCCTAATCGAATTAATAGCTAAGCTCTATGAGTTTATAAACTTCTTGGAAAGGTGAACTTTTTGTTTTTTTTTTATTATAATGTCATTGCACTTTTGTGGCCATGACTTTAAATTAGCATTAACTGAAGAGTTGTAGCATATCATATCGTACTTATTTTGTACTCGATGTTCTAATTATCAAAACTTATTTATAGGCAATTTATCAATTTATTATTATCATCCAATATTAAGATTATCGTATTAAGATAATATGTCTACTTATAAATTATTGGCGTGTATAACATTATAAAAGATCATACGATTAAATATTTCGTAAATGGTGACATTTCATAATTTAATCATTTATTACTGGCCATGCGACTTAATGTCCAACGATTAACGACGATTTTATTTTTTATAATTACTTTTCAATACAGAACTCAGGAAAAGTCTTAAAAGTCAATCATTATGGTTCCATGGTTGCTTCTTTATTTTTTCAAACGTGAACAGCACCACGGATATGAGACCCGTGATAACACAAGAGTGATATCACTTGTGTCACAATGTTCCAGAGGACTAATATATTATGCCTCTTATAATTATATTTGTAACTGTAATTTCGATCCATAATCTCCAACCTACAACCGAAACACAGGCTTACAAAGGAAGCTTTTGGAGGCTCATATAGGTGAGACTTCACCTCCACTTAGTTCCCCTGAAAACCATCGTGATAAATTCCCGGTAAATTTGCCACTATGAGCAAACTGACATAATCAACTTGTGCCCCCCCTCCGATCGATCCCCCGTCCAATTCAAACGGGGATCGATATTACGAAGGCCTCGAGTCGAGGTTCGAAACCCTAGTTGGCCTTCAGCCGCTCCATAAGTCCTTCCGCGGGTTTGGAGTGCCATCTGCACTCGCCCCCTAACGTCCGGTGAAGCTGTAAAGGCCAGCTGCGGCCAACAGCATTAGAGTAGTCCGAAAAAATAAATCAACTTGTGCCCCGTCAACGTAAACCATTAGACGGGAGCACCATTTCATTATCATTGATGAAAAGGAAATAGATAAGACTAGGACGACACGAAAATCATGCAATATTGGAGTAGTTGTGGCGATGGTAAAGATGGCAACTGGGTGGGAGCAATATGACAAATTGGTTTTCATTTCACAAACGTGGCCACTTATGAAGCGATACAGAAACATATCACCTTAAACGTCTGAATTTCTGAAGTATTATTGAGAAAAAACAATGTAAATAAATTCGAGTTATTTGATCAAATAAGTTATTTAGAACGATAATAATCCTGAACTATTCACATGCGCCATCTAGTCTCAAGCTACGCGTAGCTCGTTTGGGTTCTTATTTGACATGTCCACAGTTCAGTTGGTCGGTTTATTCCAATGTGACAAGAGGCGAGCCTGCCGCCGACTCTCGAATTTTCTGTTTGACATCAATCATTGCTTCAATAGAAAGTTAGATTGTTGGAAATTGTTTTATATTTAGTTGTGTTGTTTTATATGTAGTTCGGAACATCGAATATCCCACAAAGAGGATGATGTTCCGAACTATATTTTATACCTTTTTATTGTCTATGTTTTTTATAATACTCTATTGTTTTACATATATGCCATAAGTAAATATCATTTTCGCGACTATATCACCATTTTCTTTGCTCGCTACAGCTCAATCAATAATAATAGATAACGTTTTTTGTGACAACTTTTACGAATGAACCTGTATACTGAATTTACACATTAGACAGTGTTAAGATAATCTGCAATAAACTGTAGAAGCTTCTTATACGGAACCAATGGTGTCTAAGACTTTGCATAACCGTTTATTATTCAAATATCATTCAGATAAGAGTATATAACTTTATCATGCCTTGCGAGGCCTCACTATCAAGTAGAGTTACGTTATGGTCCAATAAACACTATTATATGACTACTATAGCTTTTTACCCCATCATAAAACATGCAGATACGGTTATTGCGTTTAAATATATATTTTATATCCGCGACTTCGTCCGCATGGAATTTAACTTTATTTTTCTAAAATAAAGGTAACCTAAGTTACTCCTTATTTCATCAGCTACCTGCCAATAAAAGTCCTGTTAAAATCGTCCAGCCATTTCAAAGATTAGCCGGAACAAACTGTCTGTTTGTTTGTATGTCTGACAGACAAAAATTGTAAAAAATGTTATATTGGTTTACGTACCGTATTTATATTCATATGCATATAGTAAAAAACGATAATTTCAATATTACAAACAGACACTCCGATTTTATTTATATGTATAGATCTATAGATGAGTGGTTTATGAAATCGCGAAAGATTTTAAAAAACATAAGTATTATAGTGTTGTGGATTTTATCAATGGTTATAAAATTATCTGTTACATTGTCGTGACGTATAAAGATTTAATTTTCGTTTGACGTTCGGTTGCTTGAAGTTTAGTCTAAAACTATTATAATTGCTCCATTTTCCATAATCATAATATTTTTTTAAGTATATTTAAGCAGTGAACGTGATATGTCCCAAAAATTAACTATAGTACCTGTTACCCACGACTATATCTGCTTATTGTAGATAAAAGATGGCATTTAGTTTTTATTATTAAAATTATATGCATGTAATTTTTCTGTATAGAGCAAATAGAATCACTGAAGCGTACTTTTTTTTAATATGTCATGTCCGCACGTCCCGGGAAACGGGTGCGGATACTGCCAGACTCGTACCGGCTAAAACCCCCTTGGTGTCCTCTGAGCGCTATGGCGTCGTTTATGCGGGAACAGATTGCTACTACTAGCTGCTAATTATTCAATCGCTAAACGAAACTGTTACCTACAGCATACACGAAACTAGTTTCCCTATGAACAGCTGGTATACCCCCTTGGTATCCTCAGAGCGCTATGGCGTCGTGGATGCGGGAATAGATTGCTACTACTATCTGCTAACTATTCAATCGCTAAACGAAACTGTTACCTACAGCATACACGAAACTAGTTTCCCTATGAACAGCTGGTAAACCCCCTTGGTATCCTCAGAGCGCTATGGCGTCGTGGATGCGGGAATAGATTGCTACTACTATCTGCTAACTATTCAATCGCTAAACGAAACTGTTACCTACAGCATACACGAAACTAGTTTCCCTACAAACAGCTGATAAAATATTATATCTACCTGTTTTTAGATAAAACACATTTATTTCAAAGTCGAATCGTGGCCGAGATAATAATATCTCGAGCTTAGTTTTACGGGCAGGATTTTGAATGATATTTTTATATCTTAAGATTTATACGTTTATATGTGTAATAACATAGTTTCAATGAAACGTGCTATCGTTTTCTACAACGTTAAAAGACGACTTTTAATTAAATTGAAAAAAATAGGAGTAAAGTTATATTATAGTAATAAAACTAATATTCTTTAATGTATTATAACGAAGAAATTATGTTTTGTTTAGATTTTTTTTTATTTTGCTTTACTTTTTAAAATAAAAGCAGGTAAATAAGACTTATGTGCCTTTCGTTCAAATTTAAGAAGAATTTTAAAATGTTGATAAATGTTTATCTAGTTTTTATTTTTGACTGATGAATTTATTTATCTCATTATTAATAAAGTACCTATAGACCATAAATCTTATTGAATTATAATTAATTATAAATAAAGTAAGATTTTATTTGTATTTTATTAGAATTTAAGATTTGTGGTAATAATAAAAAAGTTTCATTTTACATACATTTTTTTTCGTACCTATTGGCTGGTCGGTCCGTCTATTAGTTTTGGCGACCTGGCAACCCTAAGTGTAATATATAAGGAGTGCATTTCGGCGTTCTGTGGGCCGCCTATGTGAGTCAAACGAATTGATAAAATATTTACAATGTCATTTTAATCTACATTATTATCTTTGTGTAATACAATTATTGTCTGTGATACATAATAATACATTTAAACTGTAATAAAACGATAAGCAACTGAGTGCAATGCCACTGACGGAATAAAACCACATCCTTATTAGTTATACCATAGAAAGATCGTACGAAGTTAAATTACTCTGCCTAAGAGGCAGTAACATAATACAGATGGTATGTTTCTACCTCTTAGACAAGTGTAAAAAGTAAGGTAAATTTTGTAGAGTTGTCTGCGTGGGTATATCTCTCTAACCTACTTCAGCTGCCAATCAGCTTGCTTTATAAGATGTGTTTTAGATATGACAGTGAAATGACAGGTTATGTTAACAAACCGTCCTAGTTTTCTGGAATAGCAACATTATAAGTGGTACGATGGTGAGTTTTGTCTACATAGGCGACGGTTATCACTTACCATCGGGGTGAGTGTACACTTGTTTGTCATTCAAAAATACTATGTCGGTATAAATATGCTGTAGTAGATTAAACGCTTGAAGAATGAGATCACAAACGTAGAGGTAGACTATGCGATTACGTCAATTTATATAAAAAATGAGTCATTATACGTGATGTTAGAAAATTATTTAACGACGCCAAACATTCGAAATTTAAATCAATAGTTTTATATAATATAAAATTATTTATACGTCATTGAATAATTTATACGTTATAAATAATTTTATATACTATGTAATGTTGGAAGTTTAGAAAATAAAAAAAAATATCCATGCCGAACATTCGAAATTCAAATATAATAAATTTTTTACATTATTCCAACATATAAATAATTCCGTTATTAAGAAATCGGAACTGAAAAAGAAAAAGTTTCTCAAATCGACTGGGATTTTTAAACATATTAGTTTTTTTTTACATACTATCTTTTTTCTACTTTAATTGATTTTGAATTTTTTTCAAAGCTCAGTTTATTGATATTCCTTAATCTTAATCTTGCAACATAATGTAGTCCTTCTCAGGGCCTTAAAAAAGTGTATATTTTTTAAAATTAAGTGTCAAGTCGATGTTATATTTCTGATATTATTACTCATCGCAGACAAACAAGTATATCAAATCGAGATAGTAGATCACATAATTCTGCATATTTCTGCTATGTCAATGAACGATCATGATGACAGAGCGATATTAAAGTAAATCCATTACTTGTACGGTTTATCTATGCGAGTGATAATGACATATATATTTTAACGTTTGCCGCTACAAGAATTACCACAGAGCAATTAACACTACTTTTCATGACTTTGACATACCCTGATGAATACGAAATCCAAAATTTAATCTATAGAACCTAGAACCTATAGACCTATAGAACCTATAGAATTTTAGGGGTGTTTGAGCTATTACCGCATATTTTTGATTTGTAGCGTTACGACCTACAGAGAACTATTGTTTTTTTAAGAGCTCGCTACCTAGGCCCGTTACGGACAAGAATTGAAGAATATTCTTAGGAACGATATTTTTTATGTCTTCAGGATACAATAGTACCTATTCATGTAATCATATACTATATGTATACATAAAGAATTGTAATAGTATATTTACTTCGTCAATTATAATTTTATAAATAATAATTTCATTGTGACTACCCCGTTTATATAATGTATATTTTTAGGTACAATTATGTACCTACCTGACAAAGGGGAACCAAATGTACAAAATGTTTGATTTGACATATATGTATAAAAGCTGTGAAGCTGCTAGATGCAGTATTTATATAGTTTACATATTGCTAACATTTCATTTGGATTGTATATTTATTCCCTTAGCAATCATATTCGTCTTACATAATGAAGATACTACGTAAGTAAATTAGTAAATGCATATAATAGATAAGATTTAATTTAAACAGAATATTATCTATTTTTTTTAATAATGTAACTATCTTATTAATTGTAATATAATTATTGTAATCATTCAATGTTTATAATATATATTAATGATAAAAAAAGTCTACATCTGTATTATTTACACAAAATGGACACTTAAAATAAAAAAATATAATTAAATAAAATGCGGAAGACTGGCCGTAAAGAATTTCCTCGCTGTATCGAAAAAAGGCAAATAAAAAACCATGAAATGCATTCGAATTTTAAAATAAGCTCTAGATAGAATACTAATTTTGTATCTGTCTAATTATTTTTTTTTTCACCCAAGAATTATAAACCAACTTAATTCTTTACTTATATATAGCACAGATAATATAATACTACATACTTATAGCCAATAAATTATTGCTTCTTTGCAATGATTTATTTTTTAATGAAAGGAGTAAGGAATCATAAATAAATTAATCAAATAACTAATCACTACATTTTATATATCTTTAATTGCTGAGACTTATAATATTTTATAACACGATATTATTTTTCTCTCATCAATAAAAGTAATTTTGTTTGTTATAATTATATTCGCATGTATTAACAATATACTCGTATGTATATTTTTTATGTCGATCAAATGAAATTAAATATTAATTGATAGTTTCAGCGCCTATCTATTTTGTTTATGTAAATACAGTAAGTCGGCCATTCTTTTCATTATTATTTTATACCAGCTACATTATTATTATTATTATTATGTTAACTAACTTCTTCATTCTCTTCATTATTATTTTATACTAGCCGTATCTGCGACTTTGTCCGTGTGGAATTTAACTTTATATTTCTAGAATAAAGGTAGTCTAAGTTACTCCTTATTACATCAACTACCTGCCAAAAAAGTCACGTCAGAATCGGTCCAGCCATTTCAGGGATTAGCCGGAACAAACAGACAGACAGACAAAAATTGTAAAACATGTTTTTTTGGTATATGTACCGAATTTACATACATATGCATGTAGTAAAAACGGTTATTTCAATATTAGAAACAGACACTTGTATTTTATTTATATGTATAGATTTTGTATTAGTCTATACTAATATTGCATCGACTATATATTTTGTTTGTCTCAGAGAACGGTTTTAAGTTGATCATCATCATTATTTTATATTGTGTCTTAATCTACACTATTATTATAAGGATTAAAGATTTGTATTTTTGTATATTTGTAACTAATATACAAAAAATCTATTCGACTTAATTCAAAAATTCTTTCGCCATTGGATTTGTACATTAATACTGAGTATATTACCTACGAGAACATCGATGATGAAAACCTACTTTTAAAAATTTACCATTCACATAATGACGGCTTGGTGGTCTAGCGGTTTAGCACACCACTTTACTTCCGATGGTCGCGGGTTCGATTCCTCGCACGTCACAAACATATGTATTCATGAGTACCATTATTTCTATCGGTCTGGGTGTTTTCTATGTATATCGTGTATGTATTTACAAATGAAAAACTAAGTTTTTATATCAGTTGTCTAGTAAGTACCCAGACCACAAGCTGTGCTTACTATGTGACTAGATGGCCCTGTGTTAATTGTCCAGGGATATTTATACGTATGATCTATCTAAAACTATGATTCAATATATTAATGTATTCACCATAATACATTAATTAGAACACTAAGAGCTGTCTAGGTACTGTTTAAATGGTCCATTGATGCGTCTGACTGTACATATTGTTTGATATTATTAGGAAATATCCGATCATTGTTAATTGCACTAAACTGTACTAAACAGTCGTCATAATAGGTATTATCTAAGTCTGCATGGTGATTTCATAAGTCTGTTTACAATCAAGGTGTCTGTCTGTACGTTCTAGTATATCTACGTAGCAAATTGTGGGGGATTTTGTTATGGAAACTTTTTTATACTACGATGGTAGCAAACAAGGCCATACGGCCTATCTGAAGGTTAGCATAGCCCATAGATGCCTGAAACACCAAGGGTGTCACGAGCGAGTTGCAAACGCTTATGAAACCTTAATGTAATAATAATAATCTCAGGACAATTCACACAGCGCCATCTAGACCCAACTTAAACTAGCTAAAGCTTATGCAATGGGTACTAGATAACTGATACAAATACATTTTTTTTTGTAAATACACGCATATTATACATAGAAAACACCCAGACCGATACAAACAATCATAGTCATGAATACAAATGTTTGTCCGTTGCGAGGAATCGAACCCGCAACCATCAGAAGTAAGGCAGTGTGCTAAACCGCTAGACCATCGAGGCCGTCATATATACCTTTTTAGAAAATAAACTATTGTTAGAGCTACAATGAGATTCACTGGCAGTTGTATGTATTGTATAATATGATGTTCTTCATCATCGCATAATATAAAACAAAGTCGCTGTCGCTGTCTGTCCGTCCCTATGTATGCTTAAATCTTTAAAACTACGCAACGGATTTTGAAGCGGTTTTTTTTAATAGATACAGTGATTCAAGAGCAAGGTTTAAATAAATAATACATGTACACCCGTGCGAAGTCGGGACGAGTAGCTAGTTATACATATTTTATATACTTCTGTCACTGCACTCTGCTATAACAAACGTCTCTAAAAGCTTCTCTTATTTTCATTCATTATTATTGTAATTAATAATAATGTGCTCTATCGGGCTAAGGAGAGTTTGTTAGTAAATGTGTAGAGAGATCGAGTGGGAGATTATTAGTAGTGGCCCTATTATTTTACTTTCACGCCCAAGTTCCCAAACATATAACAAACAGACACTTCAATTTGATTAATTTGTATAGATATAAAAAAAACTGATTAGGTTTCCGTGTATCTGTTTATCCGCTTCTACAAAACCACGCGATGGGTTTTGATAGGGATTTCAATGTCATTTCGAAATACGTAATTAACAATTATATTAGTACGTACTTATCTATCTATATCTAATGTCGTTAAAGCAAGGCCTTAATTAAAAAATATAAAATACACTTTAGTTTTTATATTTCACCGAAAAATATATTTTTATTGCATGTATTAAAGAAATCATAGTGTTTAGAATTATTGTCAATTTCTCTACAGTAGGTAGAGATTTACTGACACATTGCGAATTATGATAAATTGAGATAAATATGATATATGTACTAAACTAGGGATCCGCCCTGGCTTTGCATATGTAGAAAGTTCTATTATACACATAAACCTTCCTTAAACATACTCTATTAAGGGATGAAAATTCATTGAATAGATAGTTTTTAATATGATCGCGAATATACAGAGAGACGTAGCAAACTTTGTTTTAATTAATATATATAAATAGATATGGTAAATACTTACAAATGTTTTGCCCCATCAAAATAATACCACTATAAAATTCTCAAATCACATAATACCTAGTAGTAATATTACATAAACAAATTTAAACAAACATCCTTAGTTTCCCTTTTATGAATTTAATATTTTTTTTTTATAAATACATTTAACGTACTTACCTTCATAGTCATAAAGATTACTATCTAATATTGAATAATAAAATCACAGATGTTACCTAAGCCTCAAAAACGTTAGCAACATTTTTAAGATAAAAAAATAAAAAATATAAAATGACACTACAATTTTCCCGCCAAATGAAAATGTCACAATACTTAACGATTCCCGCAAACGGCACAACCGGTATTAAACACAACACACCACTGACACCAACCTATTAGGATTTTCTTGATCAGTTTGTCCTCTTCGTCGGTAACATTGTTAATCTCGTACGGCAGTTCCAACCAGGGCGCCATCTTTGCTGTGTGTATTTTGGTTGAAAAGCAAACACAGTACTGTCATTCGAGTGGTTACATCCACCGTTTTCAATACCAAATAATCTTATCGTATTGTATTGATTCATCTATTACTCAGATAATATCTTGTATGAGTCAGTTTGCATGAAATTTAGAGACCATGTACGTTGATAGATAGAAACCATGACGGGTGTAAACCATATTAAAATAAACAATTTTAATGATAATATTATGTCAATATAATTGATAAAAAATGTCCTACTTTTAATTTAATCCAAGATCATTGTACAGGGTTATAGAGTATGTGTAAAACTCATGAAAAGTGATATACCAAGAAACAAAGCGCTTGAGACTTTTATGTATAGTATAAAACGATTATATATATGTAATTAATAATTATATGTACTATAATATTATTAAGTATATATAGTATACATGTTAATATTCATTCAACTACATAAACATAATTTTGCATGTCTACTACGATCACTTTGCATGTATTATGATGCAAAATGATCGTATATTCACCACAGTGTAGAACACTGTACAGAGAAAGAGGAAATTGTAGAATAAATTTTAAAGTCTTCATACTAAATCAATCACATAGCCATAAAGTTTGTACGGCCTTTTCAAATTATTTTCAATTTTACACTTTACTTTTTAGAAACATTTGTTCTCCTTCATGAATACTACCTACTGTCATTGATTTTCTGCTCGGTGTACTAACCTTGTGTAGACTATCTCACTTCTTACTAATATTATAAACGCGAAAATTCATGCTCATACTTAACCTTACTTAGTTTTGTTTTATTTATTTCTTTACATTAATTGTCAACAATTGAAAATGAGAAACTAGTTTGTGTAATTTGTTTTCACTGAATTATCATACAATTAACTCGTTTTGCAGCTGACAACATGAACGTCATGTATATTTTATATTATCTATCGTATAACATTATTATTTTGTCGTAATTTCCCTCGATTGTTCTCAATTTTCAGTTCAATTAATAATATAATTTATTCATTAACGACATAAGGCTGAATTTCCTATAGTACAATTTCTTCTATTCTTCATGCTTTATTTTGGTATAGGTACATTCGTCTCTATTATTTTAATGATAAGTATTAATTTAAAACAAACTTCAATCAAAAGGAATACAACATTACTTACTAACATTACGTAAACTGTATTCAACAATAAATGAATCCATACTGACTGATTACAATACTCAATAATATAATTTATATTTTTTTTGTTTTATATCATATCATAGGTTCATGACATCTTTACTAATTCTAGACGGACTTTAGTCATTCTATTTACAATATTTTACTAAATTTAAGATATATTTTTTATACAACTAACAAAATATTCTGTTATCATAAATAATAAAAATAATCAAACGATTTTAATACATTTTACAATTCTATTGGTAAATATTTGTAAAATTTTTCAACAACAGAATTACATTCGAATTTCGAACTTTCTCTGATTTCAAATTGAAATATCAAATTGTGTTCACAAATACGATAGCGACAATCTCAAATATAGAACACGTAAATAAAACTACAGAAACATAAATAAACTGTATATATTTCTATTAAACAAACCATCTATATTGCTAAAAAAGAAAAAAAAACATTGAATAAATACGTTATTTATTTGATACGATATAAATTCGAGTCCTATTTGAACAGTATAGATACTATTTTGGTAATGATTTTGTACTTTTGTATTTTTATTTATAACTATTTATAACTATATCTCATTTAGATCATTTCTCAAAAGCACATATATACGTCCGCCTGATGGAAAAAAGTTACCGCAATCATTATGACTAACCACCAGAGTTCTCCTATTTCTAGCCTGAATTCTCTAGCTTCCATTTACATAATAGTAATACCATTCTTTATTGCGCAAAGATCGTTAATAAAGTGCCTTCTTTATTTTTAATAATTGAATAAATCTTTATTTGTATTTTTATACTTAATTTTATTTATAACTATATCCTTACTATCAAAGATTATATACGTCCGCCTGATGGAAAGTTACCGCAAAGCAAACTAAAACATTACATAACAAAAAGCGGCCTTATCGCTTAAAGCAACCTCTTAAAGTCAACCTGGACATAACCTTGTCCTTGTGGTTTTATCTCTCTAATAAAAAGAAGCATTAATGAATGATGACTGTCGACTTTCTACTAGCATGTTTAAGAAGATACTAAAATGTAATTCTGCAATAAAAATTATCGAAGCTTGAAACTTACTTAGCAAGATTATTTTTATTAGTATACTGTGTGACCAATGACCAATGTGCTCCCTCTAATATAATTGACTGCAATGATGGCTGGCTTATCCGTCATACTCGTGAAAAAGTGTTACTTGTGGGGACTAGTCTATTCGGATTACGAACATTTATGAGACTATTTGCTTTTGTAATAGCATATGCTGGTGGTCATTCTATTCTCCCATATTTTAATTTAAAAATGACTCTGTAATATTGTAAACATATACAACATTTATTTGAAAAGAATACGAGCTGTGTTTCTTGTCAGTTTTTCTCATCTCGAAATCATTTCAAACTGACGGTAGATTTGACATATCATAAGAGTCTGTAATAGTCCTACATGAATAAAGATATTTTGCATTGAATTTGAATTTGACCATCATCATGGGGCATCATTGTGTAACACGGTTGCTAACAATTTAAATTTCGAATAGATTTATATTACGTTGCCGATTATGACAATTAAATATTGCAATTGAGAAAGGTAACTAAATAAATTGCCATGTAAACAAATCAGGAGCAACACGCAAGTTTCTTGATCATTCTTCTTTTGACGGTCTCAGCTTTCCGAATGAGCGATAAAGTCAAATGATAAGTATGCGAAAAGTAAATTTAAGTTTATTTGATTAAAGAATTTTCTATGCTATTCCAACCCATTACCGTTCATATAAAATCAAAAAACCCTATCTATACTGCTTAATCTCAACCTATGTACAACTAAAACCAGAGGTTACAACCAATCTACTTGACGACTAAAATAGGCGATACTAAAGTAAAGTAAGGCAGACGAATTTTTACAAAGTCAACCTCGGTCTGAACTGAAATCTCAGAATATCTACCTCCAACTCGAAAATTCTTTAACTCCCATAAGAGCCCTGCTCAGTACCAGGGACACATAATTAGTAATTAAAGTTAGTCTACCAAATTTACCAACTCGAGATTCTGTCATCTGCCAAACTTTATGTGAATTGATTCAGCTCGAATAAGCACCTTATCGTATGGCAATATGGACCAATTAAGTCTAATAAGTTTTAAGTAGCACCAGTTCGGAAATCCGTTGAGTTTCGGCACTGGAAAATTAGTTTCCAAGTTGGGATTTTTTAATTTTAGCCAAGCTTGAACTGAAACAAATTAAGATGCTGGGAGATACAGAATAAAATACACGTTTCAATTAAAACATTAACGAATTTATACATTATTTCAATTGAGGAATTAAAATGAGGAATCATTATATTGCAATTGTCAGATGCCAATTAATAATGCAACAATAATATTTATACTAAATGAAATATGCTCGTGAACCAAATGCTATATAATCTGAAATAACATCTAGGAGAATGTGAGGGAGTAGAGGTCACAACAGAGTTAAGAGAGGCCACGGTAACCGCAAAATCAAATAGCCACAAATATATAGGTATTTATAAAATGTCTATAAGTTGTCTAGTACATAGCACAGTTGAGACGAATCTAATATGCCACATTACTGTACAGCCCGTCGACAACCAAATGTACGGAATTCGCATTTACTTTCTTACCTTAAAATTTTAAAACCGATCTGGAACTTCTTTCGATTCAATGACAACTAAATATATTTATTTAACCCTTAATATTGCAACGACTTCAGCGTATTCGGTCGCATTGTTGGTCTTCGTTTGTGCAGGATGATGGGCTTTAGGGTAGGTGAGTAGGTGAGCCATAATCTAGGACGATGCGAGTGAGAGAGAGAAAGTTGTTGGAATCAGAAAACTGAGAGAAAATTATGCAATTCAAGTTGAAACAATACTAGGAGATCATAACACAAAGGAGATAGTACACAATAACTCGATAAGAGGTACATTGATTTATGTAATCAGCACATAAAGTAATTCATTAGTGAATACATATTTACTACTTAGATATAATAACGTTTGTCCCGATTATTAATGAAGTTTTATTATTTAGAAAAATAGGTAATAAATTAATCTTACTAATATTATAAACGTGAAAGTTTGTGAGTATGGATGGATAAGAAGGACGGATGTATGTTTGTTAGTCTTCCACACATAAACTACTGTATGGATTTTAATGAAACTTTACAATAATAATCAGAATAACATATAGGCTATAAGTTTCAGGCGATTGAAACAGGCTAGCTGTGCCCGCTAGTAATACATATTTTTAATAGATTTATTTTCCTATGACATTACAGAACAAAAAATGCAACCGAATTGAGAACATAGTCCTTTATAAGATGGTTGACAACAGAAAATCAAGAGAAATAACGTTATTGAAGTAGGAATAGTACCAGGAGATCATAAGCACAAAGGAGATTATCTCATTGAGCAGTAGTTGCAATCAGTCGTGCGAGTTGTCTATGTAAATAGCGGTATCACTATGTAATCTTGTAATGTGTTACGCGGGCGGTAATTTACACACACAATGCACAGACATTAGCTGAAGATAACGCCACGCCGGCGACATATAGTGCGTCCTCGAGTAACGAATGGGTAGATTTGCTTTCCCCTTCAACCATTTCCATAGCTACTTCTTTTTTGATAATGGCAATTCGTCGTGATTTAATGTAGGTATATATACTAGCTGATTCCCGCGAATCGTCATCTTTTTTGTCATTAAAAGATAGCCTATGTTCTTCCTCTTGATACAGACGGCCTCGGTGGTTTAACGGTTTAGCACAACGCTTTACTTTCGATGGTTGCCAGTTCGATTGCTTGCA